GGGGGGGGGGGGGGGGGAACTTCAGAAAGCCCCCAACTCTTCTCCACACCTCTCAAGCACCCCCCTGCAGCACAGGAGGGGGCACGGCCCCGGCTGCTGAAGCCCCAGCCCAGACCTGAGCCCAGCAGGTCGCCGTGTGCCCAGGGCAGCCACCGCCGGGAGGTGGGAGCGGAGCGCTCGGTCCATGCGAGCGCTGCTGCTGCCACCGCCAGGCTGAACGGGAAAAGTCAGCAGAAAAACTGCATTAGCGCTGCCGGGTGACCTGGTTTGAGACTCCACATACTCGGGTATTTCTTCCCCCGTGCACCCCCAGCGCTCCCTTTCTGCGGTCTGAATTATTAAGCCACCCCACATGTCCGCAAGCTGCTTCCGCAGCGCTGTAAGTGCGGAGCCTAACGAGGCGAGAGCCGCGCTCGGGCTCCGGTCTGCAAACGAGCTGCAAAACCCTCTGACTGCTGGCAAAGGGCTGCTAGACTCACTGGGATGCTCTGCTCAAGTCACCTGGAACAGCAATGGCCAGTCATTAAAACACACACTCTGCAGGGTAACAACTCCACACAGACCAGAGGCAGGAACAGGCATTAGAGGAGTTGATAAGGCTCATCTGACTGCTAACGATTTTGTCTACAGTTATTTTTGTGCAGCTGGGAACAAGTGGCTACAGTCAGCTACTTGCCAGCTGGGGAGAAAGCAGCAGTTTTGCATCACTGAGAATGGAAACACATCCAGCTCAGCCCCCCACCACGCTCCCAGATTTTCTCTCCTCACTGGCAGAGCTTGCCATGGACCAACCAGGACAACACCCAGCAACATCTCAGGATAACTGGTGAAGATGCAAAGGGAAGGGTGGTAAAGAGTCGGGTTTTCCTGCAGACACAGCTTGAGGAACAGATTCAAGCCTCTGCTGATGACTGAGCAACACCTCGGTGTGCTGGCTGGGTTTAGATCCCTTTACAAAAGCCAGATACCCTTGCCTGTTTGGCAGAGAGAAACTCTCGTTCAGACAGCTGAAGGCAGAGCAGCCAAAGGTCCCTTCACCCACCTTCACGTGCATAAGCTTTGCCAGCATGGACCAACATCACTCTTTCACAACAGCCCGCATCACCACAGCTTTGGGAAGCTGTGGGCAAGCTCAGGGTTTAGGGATGCTTCTCAAAGCACACACTCCTCACCACAAAGCAGGTGATGGCCAAGCCTCTCCCCTAGGCCTCGCCAGTAGCAGCCAGGCAACTCCCAGTTTGCACTAGAAAAGGCAGAGGCAGATCCATCCCAGCGCTGGTGGTCTGGGAAGATCTGCAGAAGGGTGCTCATCCTGAGCTGGCAACTCTACCAGTGCTCAAACTCTACCAAAGCTCAAACCAGAATTGGTTGAATCAAGTTTTCATCTGTGAGTTGCCAGACAGCACCAAAGAAAGACCAGACCTGTTAGGCTGGAAGGAAGGTCCATGAATCCCTTTGCACCCCATACCATCAGCTACCCTCTGCCGGAAGGTGCTGCTGCACCCCCAGTCTCCACATCCCCTTAGGCTCCAGGTACCTCCATCCAAAGCAGCTCCTTCCATCCCCCATCATGCAGAGAGACTTTCAAAATCCCTCCTGTTGTTACTGCCACAATGGCCATTACGCAAGTTCGGCTGTCTTAACTCGATGCTGAGCATACAAGTGGGGCTGACATTTATTTAATCCTCATAGTAATGTTGACTGTGTACTTACTGAAACACCTCATGCTTATGGAAGACATTTGTTTCCAAGCAGCTTATGCTAAATTGCAGTGATATAAAGGAAACACTTATCCAATATTGACATTTACTGACTGGCAGCATACAGCTTGAATACTCATTTATGCTAGTGGAGAGGGGGAGGGGAAACCCGAGAAGGATTCAGGCCCTTCATTTCTGATCTTTGAATGAGTTAGACAATATTAAGCTCAGCAGCGAATACCTGCCCAAAATGCAAGGTGGGACTCCAAACCCAATGGCTTCTCACACTCACTCCCTCCTTGAGGAAAAATAAAAAGTAATATTGGACCCACAGCACAAAGCTTTGATCCTTCATCCAAGAGGAAGCTTGAGAAAGTTCATCCCTTCCAGTCTCGGTGCATATTTCATCTGTAATTAGCAAGGCTCCTCTAGCCTGCAGCATGCATCCTGCTGGGCAGCGAGCTTCTGAAAAAAAAAAAAACATTCTCGAACATTTTCTGCATTGCCCCTCCCACGGAGCCACAGTTGCTCACCCAAAAGGCTCCTGAAATTTTCAGCTTTTAGGTGCTGCAGCATCCAGTCAGACCCTGGCACACCCAGGCAGGGTGTACAGTACGGAGCTCTGCCACATGCCATATTGAAAATGACAACAACAGACCCAAGAACATAAATCCACTAGCACTTAAGAGGTGAATTAGCCACCATCTGACCACATACATATCAAACTGGCGCAACTATTCCACCAAACTGGAAACAAAGGAAAGCATCTATTATCCTAGCTGAAAGTCTGATGTGTGTGCATCAATGGTTAATGAGCAGCAGTTATGGCAGAGCCCTCAAAAAACAATTACATCCCGCTCCACCCCGGGAGCCCAAAACGCAGCAGACCAAAAGCTTGATGTAGCTTTTGTTGCGAGCGGGGGAGTTGAATGAACACATTAAGACAGGATCTTATCCTGAAGTTAGCATCTGAATTTAACAATCGTAAGCGTTCCACCTCCTACTTACATAGCATGTGACATTAAAGAGGCAGGGCGCCCGGAGCCCATCGCTAAGAGGTACACTCAGAGCACATTTAGATTTTAAGCTGTTTAATGCAACTCAATAAAAGGAAGAGCCACGGAACAGCCAAGTGACCTACAGCTCCTTCTGCTCCACTTTGGAGGCTGCTGCTGCCACCAGGGAAAGGCAAACACTCCAGCATGGGTCTTGCCAGAGAGGCAATGAATAAACAGCCTCGACTATACTCAAAAGGCATATTGAACCAGGACATCTGTTAGGCCACAGTTTCCAAGACCAGAAACCCAGCATTTGCTCTGTCCTACCACAATGCACAATTCAGAAATGAGTATTTTCCTCTTCCCCCTTCAAAAAATCTGAAGTATGGACATGCCCTGAGGTGCAGTGAAGTCGAGGAATACAAACCCATGAGTTTTGAGTGGCATCAGAATCCTGCTATTCAACCCTTGCCTAGGAAAAGCAGCAAAGGTTTTAAACTTCATTTCTTCCCAGCCAAGAGAAAAGAAATCCTGCACGTTTCCTGGCATGTTTGAAATTAATACTGCAGGCAGTGGATTCACACCCCCCCTGCAAGAGCTGGGACAATTGCCAGCCCCGAAGGCAGGGCAGACCGCCTTAAAAACTCCACCAACTGCCTTAAATCTCAGCAAATAAGAGACTGATTTACAACCAATTTGTTTCACTACCTATTGATTTATAAAATAAGCTTGTACACAGTCACTATGGCTCCGTCTCTCTCTTCGGCCAGAGGTAGTTCCCAATGAAGTCCAAGGAAAGGATGTGTATTGCTCCTGAACAGAAGCTAAATTAAGGCCTTCATAAGTTGTTATAAATTTGCTGGTCTTTAAAATAAAAAAATAATAATAAAAAAAACCTGGTTAATCCTACTGGAAGGATCCTGGAAATGATGTAAGCAGCATTTTCATAAAGTCCCCTCCAGCACGCTGAGGAGCTGAAAGCTAGGAGCACAAACTTGCAAAAGCCATCATTAAATCAGAGGTTTGAAGCGAGCTGCACTCTCCATCACAGACTGCTCATAGGAAAACGGGTTATTTAAAGACCTTGATCCTCAGTGAATTCACAACCTGAAGGGGCACATAGGCCTCTCCCCTTTATTTACTGCTACAAAAGAAAGAGCAGCATTGAGCCTTTTTATTCTAACACACACAGTCCAACTAGAAGACTGGGAGCTGGTAACACTGCTGGTAACCTGTCAGGAATTTCTGTGCACGTTTCTACTCCAGTTGGCATCCCCTAAAACAAGAGGAAAGCACAGAAGTAATCGACATCTGCCCGAGATGTGCTGTGCATAAACCGCCCAGGGACCTCTGCCTAACCTTGGCAGGGGGAGGCCGGCAGGGATGCAGCATTAGCATCAGGGCAGGTGTTTCACCTCACTTTCCTCCCTCTGGCAAAGGGCACCTGAACAAAACCGCAGCTCCTCCCTCTTGTTCTTTTCAAAGAACTGAAACCTTGCAAGCCAGTTTGAGCAAAGTCATCTGCGGTCCTCATGCGGATCTCACTGAAGGAGGTCCTGACTGAAGATGGAGAAGCATGCAGAAATCTAAACTGTGTTAAAACAGACGTTGGAGGAGGCAATCCTGCACTGTTCCCCCGGGGACAGCACAGACTGGACACCACCACCTCTAACTGGAGGCTTATTTCAGGTTCCCGCCCAGGCAGCCCAGTTGTGCCAAACCCACACCTTCCCACAGCAGCACCTTCACCAAGCACCCTTCCAAACCATTCCTGTCTTCTAGTCACCCATTTTTACTTGCAACTTCTTGTGCTGCTAGCACTCTCCTTGGCTTAATTTTTAAAGCCCGTTAACACTTGCTCATTTTGCAGCACCATATGCACTCCTCGTACTTCCCAAACAGCTCCCCAGTGCTGAGATTCACCTGATGGGTTTAGGAAAACAGCCCAACACGTTTCTCTTGCAAAGCTACACCCTGCTCTCTACATGGCAGGAGGAATTAAATTTCAAAAGGGATCATGACCACAGATTTTCAGGCTTCTCATTAGCAGGCTCAGGGTTGTCAGATGCAGCAACCCACAAGTGCCCCTTGCACCCAGCGAGCTGCAGAGAGGAGAAAAGTCACCAGCCCCTGTACACACACACCCATCCCCACCCCAGGACTCCCTAAGCTTGCATTTTTGCTCCCTGTCCCCCACTAACCTCCCCCGAGATGCCAAAATCCTCATCCTCCAGTCCTAACCAGTGGTGGTGGGTGGAACTGGCCTGGTTTCTCTCATCAGCATAATTTCACCCTTCCCCACCTGGGGGCTGATGACAAGCAGCTCAAGTTCCCCCACCGGGAAGTTGAGCCACCGCTGCTAATACCGGGCCCCTCTGACAGAAGATTGCAAAGCATTCGCTTCCAGGGAGGAACCAAGTGAACTGTGAAGGAGAAAAACATACCCTGCAACACCCAGAGAGCCTGGTATTCATCACCCTGAGGGAAAGCAAACATGCCTTTGGAAAGAGAGCCCCAGACAAGCAGAAATCTTCCCCATCCAAGGTAAATTTTGTAGCCTGCCAAATTTATCTAGGTGGTTACACTACAGGCCAGTAAGAGGAGGCAGTGGTTGTATGTACATCTTCAGCACTGCTCCTTCCCCCAGCCCCAGCACTTTCCCCAGTTGCTTCCAGCCTCACCCAGTTTGGCTGACACTGGAGCAGCAGAGGGAGGGGTAAACTATTCACCAGGCAGAAAAGGCAGCTAGTTTCATGGCAGCATCAATTTCTTCCCACCAAGGGGCACCACACATCTAGTCTCCGCGGGAGGCAAATCGTGCTGCGACTTTATCTCGCCTTCCACCAGAGCTGTGGTCCTGACAGCTTTCGAGGGGGCGGGCGGAAGAGCGAAGCAATACCAGGGGAAAAACGGCCCCTGAGGAGGAAACACTGACCTATCGACTTTCAGAAAGAGAAAACGCAGGCTCTTCCAGACCACTTGCAAGGGTGAGACACAGAGGATGCTCAAGGGAAGGCAATTTGTTCTTCCTAGGTCACCTCAAGAGAAGCACAGAAGTCAGCTGCAATAGAGATCCTCCTCCTCCTCCTCCTCGGCTGAGCAACGCTGCGTGCACCCAGGTGCAGCGCGGCCCCGGACAGGGAGCAACAAGCACGCTCCTCCTGCAAGCTCAGCTGGGAGCCCAAGTTTGAGCCTGCACGGGTTTGCAGAAGCAGCAGGATGCCAGCATGCCACAAGGAGGCACAGGGCCCATGAAGTACAAACCCAAGGGCATAGGTGTACAGATCTGGTGACGGAAAGTGCCTTTTCGGTGAGGCTTTTGTGTAAGGGGGCTTTATTATTTTTAAAACTAGAATCCGGACCACAGATCCCAAGAGAGGTTTTAAGCAGAGGTGATCCTCCCATCCCTTGGCTCAGGGAAATTTCAGTTCTGCCTGCCTTATGGCAAACCCCTTCAAGCCCTTCTGGTGCTGCAGGCAAGCAAACGCAGCCTGCCTACCCCTTTGCCCGCAAAAAGGAGCCACTAAAACTCCTGACGGGCAGGGTCAAGTGATTGGAATTGTTCCTTGGAGTGAGTTTTGGCCCACCAGCCCCCTCCAGAGCAAGATGACTGCCCTCTGGGTACACACGTACACCCCATCCCCACGGCCCGCCAGCCTTTAGGAGCATCTTCACCCATGGGAAGCGAACGCCGCTGCATCTGCACACGCCAGAACAACTACAGCAGCTGCTCGACGGGAGGCAAACGCAACATATGCTGGAAAATAAGCTTCAGTTCCTACATCCAGGCCTTTCCTCCCCCAAAGTACCATGTGGTTTGAGGAATCCTGTGCATGAAATCCTATTAGGGATCCTTTGCAATGTTTCACCCCAAAGGCAAAAGCCACGATGCTGCCAACAGCCCCTTTCTCATGTACCGTGAGCAGCAGCTCCACAGAATCGCATTCAGTGCATCCTACGGGAGAAAACAGCCGAAAACGCTCTGCGAGACACTATCTCTGCCTCGTAACCCGGCATGAATAAGCAAGGTACCAGATGCACACTCCTGACGGTACAGACAGGGGAGACAAATCAACTGAGCTCAGGCTACGGCGCAGCAGAGCCGAGGAGCCACGACAGCTTTCGAACACAAGCGCTATTAAAAAGTGCATTAGCCCTGATTAAATGTAATGGCTGCAAAAGGGAGGAGGGGGGGGAAAAAAAAGAAAATAAACAAATCCCCGCTGGATCCTAGACATAAACTTATTCAGCTCTGGTAGTAAACTGCCATTTGACCTGCAGGGAGGTGAGAGGTTGGTGGGAGCAGGGAGAGATGCGAGGCCAG